AGAGAGAGAGAGAGAGAGAGAGAGAGAGACCTTTCAAGTCGTTATCACGATCTCTCTTTGCTTCACCCCCTTTATGCTGTGTCCTTTTGTTGGTGGTCACCTTGACCTTCTTCACTGCCCTGAACCTGCGTCTGCTGTGTGTTTCTGCATGGCCCTTGTCTCTGCAAGTTCTTCAGGTTTTCTCTGCCAAATTCCATGAAAATAAGGACCAACTAGTCTTGCTCATGCTTCTGGCTGTACTACCTAACACACTAACACACAACAAACACTCAGTACGTTAAATAAACCATGTAATCAAGACCCTCCAAAACCTCTCTCTGTCTTCAGGCCACCCCAGCTAATGTAGTTTTTTTTTGTTTGTTTGTTTGTTTTGCTTCTTATTTTGTTTCTTTTTTTGAGGCAGGGTCCTATCTAGCCTAGAATGGCTTCAAACTTCCGATGTAGTAAGTATGACCTTGAATTTCTGACCTTTCTGCCTCTAACTAACTCCCTAGTGCTGACACCAGACAAGGCGCCAGGCCTGGTTTATGTGGTGCTGGGATAGAACCCTGGGTCTCCTGCATGTCAGGCAAGCACTCTGCCATCTGAGCTTCCTCCCCATGCTGTGCTTTAAATAACCAGGAAGAGGATATCGGGATAGGGCATGGGGCAGGGGAGCCCTCATCCCAATCTTTAGCCCAAACTACTTGGAGGAGGAGAAGAAGAAAGGTCAGGGGTGGGGCCCTTCTAGGAGGAGTGAATGCCCTCTGGGGTCTCAGGGCATTGCGGGCCACCTGCTCAGCTGTAAAACGTTCTCCAAGTGGTGTCATCCTCTGTACCTCCAACTCTACATTCTTCCTGGCCACATCGCCCAGTGGCGGCCCCTCCCTCTGTCCCTCTACCCCTTGCCCTACCATAAGCAAAGGCAGGAAGGTGGAGAAGGCAGTTGGAGGACAGGGTGGGAAGCAGATTGAGAATTGACTCGGTGTGTATTTTTTCTTCAGCATCTTTACTCATTTTAAGTCTAAGAGGAGGTAAACATTGGTGGCTGGGTTGGGCCTGGCTGAGGAGGGACAGGAAGGGGGGGGGGTGTTCTGGGCCATCAGCTTATCACACAAGTGCCTCTCTCCTTGAAGGGATTCTTGTCTTCTGGGATGCCTTGGAGCAGAGGGTCAGCCCCTGCTTGGGCCTGAACATAGTTCTTGATTTCCTTTCCTGTCTTGGAAATCTGTAAGATGACAAAACATGGTCACAGCTTTCGTTTGTGTCTTGTAATCTACGACTTGGCAATCTCAGAAAAATGGTAGGGTAGGGCTGAGGTCAAAGAGGAAGAAGGTGGCAGAGAGAGGCGGGCAGGAGGGTGAGTCCCTTGACGGGATGCATGGCCAGCACAGCCTGGAGACAGGGCTGGACACACTGGGCTCCCCAGAGCCCTTAGCCTCTCCTCTGTGCCCAGGAATGTGAGGGGGACCCCAGCTGTCTTCTGGATCCCACCCAAGTCCAGAGATAAGTCCTGGGCCTAGTGTCTCCTCTGAATTCCCAAAAGAAAGAGAAAAAGAAGCGGAGAGGAGGCGTGACTGGCGGCTCACCGGATCGCGAGGGTTCTTCACTTCCTTCTTCAGCTGCTCCACCTCCATCCTCAGCAGCTCTTTCTCACTGAGATCCTGAGCCATCCTGCCCTAGAGGGAGAGCTGTGTCCTGACAGGATCCGGCAGTCATCAGCACTTCCCCTCCAGGCTTCCAGTTCCACACTCTTCCTGACCACACCCCCCAGTCAAGGTCCCTCATTGGCTAACATTTCCCTCCACCCTTTGTTCTGTCTAAACAAAGGCTTAGGAGAAGTGATCAGTCAGATTGGGATAGCTCAGTCTTTGCCCTTGGGAAAAGAACCTTTCTAAGGGGGAAACAGAAAAGGAAGGGGAAAATGGAGTTTAAGTGGGGAAATTTGGGACAAAGAGTGAATGGGAGATGCTTTGTCTCCTGAGGAGGGACAATCAGTATGCCTGGCAAGGGACAATATGCCTGGTAGTAAGGTCAGCCAGAGGCCAGCTGTGACCCCAGCTCTGCTGCTCCCTCCTTGTATGACCTAAGACAAGTCCCTTGGCTTTTCTGAATCTTAGTTTCTCCATCAGCAAATGAGGATACTAATAGTAATATTGATTTTATTTATTTATTTATTTATTTATTTATTTATTTATTTATTTGAGACAGCGTCTCATGTAGCCCAGGCTGGCCTCAAACTCTCTTTGTAGCTGAGGATGACTTTGAATTCCTGATCCTTCTCTTCTGCCTCTACCTCCTGAGTTCTGGGATTAGAGGCAAGCACCTCAGCACCTGGAGGGTGTGCTGCTGAGAATGGAACCTGGCTTCGAGCACGCTAGGCAAGAATCCTATCAACTGATCTACATCCCTAACCCCACTATTAATTACTGTGAGAACTAAGAAAACAATGCATGGCAGTTGCTGGAGAGACGGCTCGGCATCTTAGAGCACTTCTTGCTGTCGCAGAGGACAAGGATTCAATTCCCAGCACCCACCTGGTGGCTCACAACCATCCATAACCCTAGTTCCAGGGGGATCCAATGCCCGCTTCTGACCTCTGGAAGAACCAGGCATGCATGTGACGCACATATAGACATGCAGGCAAAACACTCATGCACATGCAATAAATGAGAAAATAGTGCATGGGAAACATTGTCAGACTGTCTGGCACAAAACAGCCAGGGCACATTTCCTATTTCTATTTCTGACAATGGTATCATTACCATCATCACGTCATGGTAACCAGGAGAACCAGCCTGGTGCTTAACCTTAGCTAACTAAGACTAGATCCCAGACCGGTGCCCCCAAAGCCTCCTTACCTGCTAGCACTCTCTCCAGATCAGCAGTCCAGGACCAGACACGAAGGTGTTTGAACCTCCTGGGGCCTCATCAGCTGGAAATCTTCAGATAAAGCAGATGGTCAGCCAAGCCTAATCGCTAATGCCTAAGCTGATCATGGGCTCAGGGGGGTGAGTCCTGGTCCGCCCAGTTCTTCACTCTGCCGCCGCAGACACTGGCATTCCACCCACAAAGGGAAAAACAGGCCACTCCATTGTAGGCCCCTGGACTGCATCAGCGGCTCTCCTTTGGTGACTCCCACCACGCCATGCCCGTGTGAGGGTCCCGCCACGCCATGCCCGCCTCACAGCCTCCCTCAGCCCACATGTTCCCCTTGCCTGTCTTTCTCCATCACAGAGCCTGCTCTAAGCCTGTTTCTCCCCAAACGGATCCAGAAGCTCTGTGTCTTCCATTAGGGGGCTCCATAATTTCACCTTACAAGGGTCTCTGGGCTCAGTCTTCATTTGCTCCATAAAAACATACCCTCACCTCCAAGGCTCACTGTTTGACTCCAGGGCCTGTATCACCCTGATGCCATGTCCTGTCTTCTTGGCCTCAAGCCCTCCCTGGCGTGTGGGACTCCCTTGTCTTCAGCTCCCAACACTCACCTACAACCTGCTCTTTCCCCTGCCTCTCCCAGGGCTACCTGACGACTGTGACATGTCTCAGAGCCGAGCTCCTGCTCTGGCTGACATTTGTCCAATGGCAAGTGATCTCTTGAGGGAATGTTAAGGAACCAATGCGGTCAGTGTGAGGGTTCCTCTTCTGCCGGGAGGATGACAAACTGGGAGGGGGAGGGGCTGTAGGAGGCCATCTTTGCCCCAGGATCAAGTCCCACTCACAGCTGGGTGCCCCAAGAATTCAAGTTTAGGACAGAACATCAACCCATCTAAAGGCCTCGTTAATACAACGAGCCCCACTCAGCACTCTGTCCACCAATGATGCCTCAAATCCCACACATCCATCTAGATGGTGTTATCCCACAACCAGGGCCTCCCTGTTGCTCATCTGAGTTCCTCATACTTCTCATTGGGTCCACTTCATCTTCTCCTACCCACAGCAGGCACAAAACATGGGTCACGGGACTTCCTACCTGACCCTTCACAGGCTTGCCCACAGTTCTCCAGGAACTCTAGACATGTCTTCCTGGTGTCTAACCCTGATACTTCTTGCTGCTGCATGGGCTGTTTTCCATTGTTGCTGCACTGCCAGCCCCGCCGCCACCCGCCCTGTGTGACTTATCTCCATATCCCATCCACCCTCCACTCCCCCATCCCTTGGTGACTCATCCCCAAGCTTCCCAAGGAAGCCCCCACCCTCTGCCCTTTCCTCCCCTCTCCCATGAGTGGAAAATCCAACCACCCATCGCAGGCCAGCCCCTTCCTCCTGTCTCTGTTACCCCATCCCCCCATCGGCTAGCTTCCTCTTCAGGACCAGGGAGCAATCACAGATGCCCTGACCTTGGCTTCCTTTGCCTGGTGAGATTGGGAGGCTGAGCCCCCAAAACAGACCCCTGGCTTCCCCCTTCTCCTGAGCAGGGGGACAGAGAGGCCCAGGCCCGGGACCCAGGGTCTGACTTCCTCTAGTCCCGGAATGAGCATGCCTACCCTTTGCAGGCAGGTTTGGGTCTCTCACGCAGAGGAAACCAAAAGCAGTGAGAGGGAGGGAAGGCAGAGCGGCCAATCAGGGGCAGGGTGAGGCTCAAAACCAGCAGGCTCCCCAGGGAACCCCACCGAGGCCCGAGCCATGGCGGAGCTGCAGCAGCTGCAGGAGTTTGACATCCCCACGGGCCGGGAGGCTCTTCGGGGCAACCACAGCGCCCTGCTGCGGGTGGCCAACTACTGTGAGGACAACTACGAGCAGGTAAGTGGAGGGAGCGCACACTAATGCACCCCTGGAAGGGACTTGCAGCCCAGTCCCGCTGTCAGGGTCATCTGACAGGTGTCTGCCCTTGCCTTGGCTGAGCCGTCTTCAGGCGGCAGCATCATCTCCGTTTCCCAAGTGCCACCACCGCCCTTGGTCTCTCTGACATAACCTCGGGGTAGAAGATGTCTACACATCAGGGTCCATACACTCTGCTCTCCCACCTTGCTCCAGCTCGACTCTTACAAAGACCTACAAGACCCTCTCCTCTCACAGGTGCTGGTACCATCTGCAGGCTGGCTTTAGTGGGGTCGTCAGGAAACCACACACACACACACACACACACACACACACACACACACACACACACACAGTTTGTTCCTTGATGTTTGAGGGGGAACAGGAGAGTCAGAGCAGATCAGGATGAGAGAAGAGATCTGGGACTTACAGTCGGGCTGCTGAGAAGTGAGGAGGGAAGGAGGCACTACAGAGTAGTCTAAAATTTTTATTTAGCTGGGGTTTTTGAGACAGGGTTTCACTGTATGGCCCAGGCTGTTCTTCAGTTCTCTGTAGCTCAGGCAAGCCCTCCTGTCTCAGGCGTCCCTCAGCGCTGGGTTTACAAGGCTCCCACCACTTCACCTGGCTGTTGTTTGTGTCTTGTCATTTTGTTCCAGTTGCATTGCGAAGGGCGCCCAGGACTGGCTGGGAAGTGCTTTTCTGCTGAGCTAAGCCCCAGTCTACCCTGGAGTAGCCTTGCTGATCTCCTGCTGGTTCCATTGCATTGGTTCCAGGGGAAGGAAGTGGGGCAGGGGTCCGAGTGACTGCCCACCTGGTCTTTTGTCTGTCCTCAGAGTCACCTTGTGAGACGACAACGGCTAGAATTCTGGGTTTAGAAATGTGCAAGGAGCCATTGGGGTGGGAAGTGACTTGTCTAGGGTCACCCGGCTCGAGACTAGCAGAGCGAGTGTGGGCTCTCTGCCTGCTCACCTGAACTCCTTTCTCTCCATCCTTCTGCCTGTCTGATACAGTGTATGACTTGGGACAGTTTATCTGCACTGTCCTCGGTTTCCTCTGCTCTAGTAAGAGTGACAGGCTAAGTCTGTGACCTCTCACCCCTGGCCAAACTGTGAGACAACAGGAGGGGCCTCATCCTATAGTAAGGGGGCTGGAAAGGAAAAGGGAGCAAACACTTGTGGGAAATGGCAGACCTAGAAGAGGCAATGGTAACTAAGTTTTCTCCGTACCTCCCACAGCCTCCTTCTGCCCCTACCCCAGTCCTGTGGGGTGAGCACCAGTCCCGCTTCACAAAGAGGAAGCTGAGGTTTGGAAAGGGTTAAATTGTATTTCCAAAAGCCTCCAAGATAGTCAATGGGGGCAGGATTCAAACTCAGAATTGTAGTTGGCTGTGGTGCCCTTACCTGTGATCTCAGCACTTGGGTGACTACAGCAGGGGGATCTCCAAAGCGTAAGACCTGCCTTATAGTCTCTACATAAGTGAGCCCAAGTCAATCAGGATGACAGAGCAAGACACTACCTCAAGGAGATCAAATCAACAAACCAGAACCCCAAACAAAAAAGCAGCCAGAATTCTAACTCAGAGTCCAGTTGCTAACCCCTGTAGACCACAGTGCTTCTGTGTCATTTTGGTGTGTGTGTGATGCTGAGTGACCCGCCCGTAGATGAGGTGGCATGTGGTTTCTAAACCAGCTCTGCACCCCCTCTAGCACTTAGGCACGCTCCCTTGGCAGGGACAATGCTTCTGGTGGGCCCAGTCCCAGCTGTACAATTGGTGTGTATGTAGGATCTGAAGCCACAAGGCTGAGTCCTTGGTCTTCCACCTATTGACTTAGGAATCTATGGTAAGTTTCCCATTGATCTTTCTCTCTTTGTTTCTCTCTCTCTCTCTCTCTCTCTCTCTCTCTCTCTCTCTCTCTCTCTCTTCCTTCCTTCCTGTCCCGCTGTTCTCACGCTATAGCTCAGGCTGGCCTTGAATTCATGACTTGTCTGCTGCAGCCCCAGAAGACTGGAATTACAGGCCTGTGCTACTATTTGGGGGTGGGTGGAGTTGCTTCTCTGGCGTGGATTAGAAGTATCACGTGGAACAAGGTGCCGAAGCATTTGCCGAGGGCCCATCACCCGCTGCTGTTACCGTTCCAGTAGTGATGGAACCCACTCTTTGGAGATGACAGCCTTGGCAAACACTCTCAGCGTATCAGAAGCCCTGACCCGGGCTGGAATCCCCGGATTCCTTTGTGCAGAGCTCTGACTCCCAGACCACACAATCAATGACTATCCCTGCCTGTCTACAGAAGAAAGCTTTGGGTGGTATCTTTAATAAGATCTCCATCCCATCCTTCCCCCACTAACCAGATGTCAGAAGCCCGTGGGGAATAGCAGCAAGCAGAGAGTGTAGGGTTCTCAGTCAGGGTTGACTGAGGGTATAACAGGGTCATTTGCATGACAAATGCTCAACTTAGATGAAGGGTCCCAGATCCTTGCTCCTCCAGACCTAACTGTGGGCCAAGATCAAAGCTAGAGAGGTTAGAAACATCTGGGCTGGAGGTACCCAGAGCTGGACCCAGACAGACACTTCTTGTTTGGGTCGTTAAGTCCATGTGCCCTGCTGGGGAGGGAACTTTCCAGGAGCAGAGGAGCCCTTTCTTCTCACCCTTTAAACAAAGATCTAGAACAAGGCCTATAATCCTTTCTAGCTTCTCTGCCTGTTCAAGGCTTTGGGTGACATATGTTGATGAAATGTAAATGTTATTGCATATGCAGATGACATGCAAATAGGCGCACAAATGAACATCGGTTTCCTGCTGTCAGAATAGAAAAGTGGGGAGGGGAGGACCATGGCATGGATTTTCCAGAAGGTTCCAGTTCAGGCTACAGGAGAAGACTCTGGAGCTCAGTGAGGACACAGCTCTGGTAGTTCCGGTGACAGGGCCTGTGGCATACACAAAATTTCAAGCCAGGAGGCCATAGGGTATACCTCCTTGCCTGTCAGTACACTGCCTCTTCTAATTTACCTCATCTCTGCCCGCCCCCCACCCCTGAGAGGGACCAGCTGCAGCCAGCTCATGATCAATGGGGAAGGAGGAAGCTGTTTGGGGAACCAAGAGACCCAAGAAGGTTTACCCAGCCCACCCAAGTCTGGTCTGGAACCAAAAAAAGGTCTTTTAAGCCACTCTCTGGCCACCTCTTTCCCACCGGCTGGCAGTGTGACACCGGCCAGTGTCTGGCGTAGAATAAGAAACCGCTCAGCTAGCCTTGGCTTCCCCTTCCACCTGCCAGTCAACAAACACGTATTTATTTACTCTCTCCTGTATGTTGGGGACTGTGTCAGCAGAGACCCCAGGACGTAATGAGCCAGCTCTCTGTTTTCACGGTGCTATCTGCCTGGGGGGTGTGGTGAAGGGAGAAAAAAGAAGACCGGGGTAAGTATGATAAGAAAGGTGAGCAGGGTACAAGTTTAGGGTGGCGAGAAGAGTGGAGAAGCTGGAATCATCCATCTAGTGAAAAGAACACTAAGAAGCACAAACACCGCTGGGTGCTGGTGGCGCAAGCCTTTAATCCCAGCACTGGGGAGGCAGAGGCAGGTGGATCTCTGTGAGTTCGAGGCCAGCCTGGTCTACAAGAGCTAGTTCCAGGACAGGCTCCAAAGCTACAGAGAAACCCTGTCTCAAAAAACAAGAAAGAAAGGAAAAAAGAAAGAAAGAAAGAAAGAAAGAAAGAAAGAAAGAAAGGACAAAACAAGCAAATAAACAAACAAAGGCCCCCAAGTAGGAACAATAATTCTAACATTTCGGAGACAGAGACAGGAGAATCAGGAGTTTGAGGCCAATCTTGGTTGCACAGAGAGTTTGAGGCCTATACTAACTACATGAAACCCTGTCAAAAAAAAAAAAAGAAAGAAAGAAAGAAAAGAAGCATATTAGAAAGCTGTCAGAGGGAAGGAGAGAATGCAGTCATTTGATTCTGGAGTCCTTGACTAAGTTCCCACACATCTGCCTGCGGATTGGGACTAAAAGTTCAGGGATTGGGACTGAAAAGTTCAGGGTCAGCTAGGGACTCTAGACAGACTCCCAGCCTCACTCCAAGGAGATTGGTTTTCAGGTTTAGGGTAAGGGTGTGATGTTGGTTGGTAGCTTTTTAAATTTAGTTATGACTCCTCAGGCCAGCATCACCTCCCCCTTTCCTCTCTGCTCCTCACCATCCAGCCTGCAAAGAGGCACTTGCTGAGGTAGGCAGTAGGGTCCCAGCCTCTCAACTCAGGCCTCACCTTAACTCTTGGAGGAGAGGACTCCTCCCCCATCCCTACAGCCAATGCTCTCAGGCTCCAGACTCATTTTCCTGATGTCCCTTACTGCAACATCATCCTTCCGGAAGCTACCTCAAGCATCTGAGAACTGCAGCAATTCTCCAAGCTAAGCTCTCACCTTAGACTCTCTTCTGGTCCCACCAGACCTTGCCTCGGAAGCAGTGGAATGTGCTGGTCTCAGGCCAAGGCTGTGTGTATTTCAGGCCACAGACAAGCGGAAGGCATTAGAAGAGACCATGGCTTTCACCACCCAGGCCCTGGCCAGTGTGGCCTACCAAGTGGGTAACCTGGCTGGGAACACTCTGCGAATGCTGGACCTTCAGGTTGCTTCCCTGCGGCAGGTAGAGGCCAAGATGAGCACACTGAGCCAGGTAAGGGTCTGGGAAGGGACCCCCCTTCAGCCCCAGCTCTTCAGTCCCACTAAAATGTTCTCTACAACAAAAGTCTCTTGCTTTTCTCCTTAGCCAAATACCGCCAACTTGACTATAGAATGTTGGCAGTGTCTGAACTCTGGAGACCTCCGTCATGACTGTGTCTTTGTGGGGTCCTTGCTACCTCATTAGGTGCAAAGTTCTCTGAAAGCGGTCTCTCTCTCTCTCTCTCTCTGTATTGCCCTTGATATCTAAAAGCCTTATCTGCAGCTCACAGAACCTGCAGAGAGCAGGAGAGACTAAAGGCCATCATCCTGTTTTCATCGAATGATTATTAAGTGTCCCGCACGCAGGCTAGGCAAGCCCATCTTCAGTCCCAGGGAGTCCCTGCCCTTGGCTCATAAATACTCTCAGCCTTCCTTCCTGGATTCTTGACCCCACAAGGCACATGCATTAGCCAAGTTATGCTTTGGGTCTAACCACACGTCCCCAAGGGGCAAGTGTATGGGGTGTGTCTTCCTCTTCCTCCTGAAGACCCAAGATCCCATCCCTCAAGGCCTGAGGGAACATTCCAAGAGGAAGTTAATTCACATATTTGTCCCCTAAAGGTGGGGGGATGATTTAGTTGCAGGTCTCTGCCACCTCACGCTATGCCCTCCTGCTCCAAAGGCTGCCCTGTCCTTCAATCCCTTCCCAGCACCCCCAGGGATGTTTTTCTCTTTTCTTCTGTTTCCCGCACAGCTAATAATAACCCTCATTCTCTTCTACCAGGAAGTTGCTCCAAAGTGGCTCCATCCTCTGCTACTCTTTGCCCAGTTGCTGTATGGCCACAGGGACAAAACTGGCTTTCTCTAGATTTCCCTACTTCCCCGGGTCCCCATTCTTTCCTCCTCCTTTCTTTATCTTGAGACAGGGTCTCACTATGCAGTCTTGGCTGGCCTAGAACTCATCATATAGATCAAGCTGATCTTGAACTCACAGAGCTCTGTCTGCCTCTGCCTCCTGACTGCAAGGTGTCTCCCTCTCTTAGAGGGAATGGTGCTGGAGGCTGCCCCTCACCATCACCTCCCAACCCTGTCATGCAGATGGTGAACATGCATATGGAAAAGGTGGCCAGAAGGGAGATTGGCACCCTAGCTACTGTCCTGCGGCTGCCTCCTAGCCAGAAGGTCATCCCTCCTGAGAGCCTACCGCCCCTCACCCCCTACTATAGAAAACCCCTCAACTTCAGCTGCTTGGATGACATTGGCCATGGTGTCAAGGTAAGGGGAACTTTGCTCTTCCCCACTGCCCACCCTCTCCTGCCATGCGGCTCCCTCCTGGCTTCTTTCTGAGTTCTTGCATTATCTCACAACCCCTTCCTTTCTCCAGCTTCCATTTGGCCAGGAGTCACGGCCTAAGTGCCTCACCCTCCAAAGGTCCCTAGCTGCCCTCCGCCCTGTACTCACTCAGCTTGCAAAGGTCACGAGCTGTCCCTGCCCCCCACCCAAGGGTACTGGGTGTGTGTGTGTGTGAAGGGGAAGAGGGGGAAGGGAGGGTGTCAGGACATGCATGAGAACCACTTCTCAGCCACATGAGAACAGCAACTTCCTCTGTCTGGGGGTTTGAGGTCACGACTCTAAGAAGTCACCCCAGAATGCTGGTGGTAGGGACAGGAGGCAGCAACAGAAAGCTGGCTTGGTGGAGGGGACATAGCTCATTGTCACCACTGCTACTTATCAGATTAGATTAGAAACTTTCCTGGGTCTTAACCGCTTGATATGATGGCAGCCCCCAGGGGGGAGAATGAAGAACAAGTTCCTTCAGTTCCCAGGTCCCGTGAATTCTTTCTGTTGTCCAACATCCTTTTTTTCCTTTTTCCTTTCGATGGTGCTGTGGATGGAACCCAGGTCTGCTATAAACCCAGCATAAGCTCCACCCCTGAACTGTATGCCCAGCCTCCACCCTATCCTTTATGCCTCAAGTTCCCTTTGTCTTGTCTCTAGTGGGGGGCTGGGTGAGAGAACATGGGCCCCAGATGCTCATCCTGGGGGGAGTCCCGAAGTTTCTCTTGCGTTGGGAGTTGCCCCTCTATTGTCGACTCTCCTAAGTGTCTTGGGTTCTGCCCTCCCTCTGCCTTGAATTTGGGAGGGTCAGTTCTTTATGTTTATGGAAGCGTTGAGTGGGACAGTTCTGTGAGATGTGTCTCCCCGCTCCAGGCGTCTCCTCTGCTTTTGCTGGAGCAGACGTCCTATTGGTTAAGGACCACCAAGCGACACAGATCCTTGCGGATCTGAGACAGTGTGGGGGTGCAAAGGTCCATTCAGTAACTGTGGCTACGCAGAGGAAGTGGCCCTCTGACGAGAGTCTGTGCTGCGGGTTTCTTTCTGTGGGGCGGCTTTGTGGAACCTGCTGCAGACTTAAAGGTCCTGTGGCTCAGGCAATGGCACCCGTGTCTGGGGTGGGGGGTTGGGCGGGAGGAGTGCTGGGAAGTGGAAGTAGGAACTGAGTCTGGCTAGCCCTCCCAGTTTGCCCTCCCCCAATTCTTCTTAGGGTTGAGGGTGAGGATTGTTCCCCTTGCCTCAGATGTCAACCCTACCCCCTCTAGGACTTGAGCACGCAGCTGTCTCGGACCGGGACCCTGTCTCGCAAGAGCATCAAGGCGCCCGCTACACCTGCCTCCGCCACTCTGGGGTGAGACCTCAAAGCCACTCCTACCAGGCCTGCTCGGCCCCTTGCGGTTCTCAACTGCTCCCCTACCCCTTGCCCGCAGCGCCTGGCGCCTTGGTGCTCCTGAGCCTGGCGCCCAGCTTCCCCTTCCACGACCCTTTCTTAACCCCACTTCTGCTCAACAGACTTCCCTCCCTCCTCATGCCACCCTACTTCTCCCCAGGAGACCACCCCGGATCCCCGAGCCCGTGCAGCTCCCAGTCGTGCCCGACGGCAAGCTCTCGGCTGCCTCCTCTGTCTCTTCCTTGACCTCGGCGGGGTAAGCCCTTGCTTGAGTCTAATGGGTGGGTAGACGGAAGGTGGATTTTTAGAAGGGGCCTCCTGCCAGACCTCTGGGGTTGAGAAAACTAAGGACCACCGGATAAGGAAAATAATTTGAGGCCAGATTTTGGGCTGAAGGGGTCCCTTAGGGACGCTGAGTCAAAAGGCTTCCGTCATCTGCGCCATGCTCTGGTCTTTAGCAGCGCCGAAGGTGCCAGTGGGATCCCCTTGCCCAAGGGGCAGGCAGCATCTGCAACCCCGCCTCCACCTCCAGCACCTGCAACCCCGCCTCCACCTCCAGCACCTACAACCCCGCCTCCCCCAGTCTCTGCTGAGGTCTTCTTGCCACCTCCCCCGCTGGAGGTGTCCCAGGCCCCTGCAGGTGAGAAATGCCCACTTCTTCCACCCCCACCTTGAGATCCTTTTGAACGCCAGCCCTGTGCTCCTCAGGAACCTCAGAGGAATCAGTGCCCTGTGATTTGAAGCGTCTCATTCAAAGTTAACTTTGCAAGGATCTTTACCGGCTTAACCAATCTGCCTAAGGGTTGCCCAGCAGGGTCTGCCTACCCTGTGCTGAGTACTTCCAAGCCTCACCAATGGGCTGGAGGCATTGTTGGTGTGATGACACTCAGATCCTAAGGATCCACCTGTGTTCCTCCCCCCCATCTTTTCTTCTTCCCAGCTGCAGAGTTACCCCTGCCCCCACCTCCAGCTCTAGAAGGGGATGACCTGGGACTACTGCCTCCTCCGCCACCGGGTTTTGGACCAGAAGAACCCAGCTGGGTCCCTGCAGCCTACTTGGAGAAAGGTACTGTACTCTGGGGACTGAGAGGCACCAGAATCTATTGCCACGTTTCTGGCCTCTGTGGCTCTGACCTCCACTCTTCATCCCAGAGGCATTGGCTCTCCCTGCCAAGAGGTGACCCTATTTTTGTCTCTTATCCCCTTCATTTCCGATGAACCGGGGTCTGAAGCCGGCTAGGAAAAGAGCAGCTGGCCTGAGCTGGGGGAGGGGGGCTGTGAAGGTTCAGGAGCTCCCCGTGATGGGGGGAGCAGAGGGCACACCTCACAAGATCTCCTTTCCTGCCCCTGCAGTGGTATCACTATACCCATACACCCGTCAGAAGGACAATGAGCTCTCCTTCTCTGAAGGCACCGTCATCTGTGTCACGCGCCGCTACTCGGATGGCTGGTGTGAAGGGGTCAGCTCAGAGGGCACTGGATTCTTCCCTGGGAACTATGTGGAGCCCAGCTCCTGACAGCCAGATCTGTCCCTGCACCAACCCAGCACTGCCTCAGTGGGCCTCCTGAGTCCCAAGAAGCCAGCGCCACAGTCAAGGCTGGACTAAGGACCTGTCTACCTCTTGGACTGTGAACTGAGTTCAGTCCCTGCTCCACACAGCAGTGTGTGTGTGTGGGGGGTGGGCTAGAGAGAGGTGGTACCCAGGAGATTGCAGCAGATGGGGGGGAACCCACAAAAAAAAAACAAAGAAACTAAAAGCCACGGATTTCAGGCATCTTGCCCAGAGGACCCCTAGCTCATGAAGAGCAAATTGCCAGCTCTGAATAAAACTGCTGACCTCCTGATACTTGCCCCGCGGGGCTAGAGGGCCAGGGGGCTGTGAAGGAAAGGGAGTAAGCTCTAGAACACAGTAGAGCCCTACAGAAGGACCCAGAAGGACCGTTTTTCCTCCATCTCAGCCCCTTTTCCTGTTCCCGCTAGACCTGACGTCCCAGGCAGCCGTTCACGGCTTCTTTCCCCTCTTGCTCCTCGAGCCTCCCCCACTTAAATGTGACTGAGAGCAAAGGGCACCATTCTCGCCCCTCGTGCGCAAGAGATGAATCACTTGGACCCCCTTCACCTCCTTTATAGGTCTGAAACACCAGAGAAGGGGAGGGGCTTGGGTTTCCCTGACTCTGCTTTAAAAACATGGCTTTCTGTTCCATAAGGGCGGAGGGGGATGCGGAGGACGACTTTGGTGAAGTCCCTAGTTTCTTGCTGCGGTAGTTGAGGACGGAGTGAGAGGATCTGTCACACTCTCCGAGGTCATTGGTTGGTTCTACCTCGTTCCATCAGCAGGAGGCGGCTGCTACCTCTGGCCTTTTCTTCCTTTGGGGGTAACTGGCGTTGGCGGGGACGGAGGGGGGGGGGGGTGAGGAAGCCAGGCGCAGCCAGCGCAGCAGTAGTGTCGGATTGCGGTGGCTGAAGCAAGATCAAGGATGCTTAGGAGCTGTCTTCCTAGAGCATCACGGGTCTGCACGAGGAACCTGGTGCTGGCATGCGAATTGGGGGATCCTGAGTCCTTCTGAGAGAAGACTGCGTAGGGGAGGTCACGCAGCCCAGCTGAAGCAGCAGCTAAAGAAGTGGGAGATGTTCCTTCTCCCAACTGCCAGGAGCCCCTTTCTCTCAGTTCGAGGGACACTGTCTGCCTTCCAAGGCGTGCTCACCACTCCCTGTAGGGGAGGCAGCCGAACTATGATAACTGCATAGATAGGGACGGCTCTTAACCTCCGCTCTCAGCCCACAAGAGAACAAAATTCCAAAATTGCCCAGAGGAGCGTAGCAAAGCGAGGGGGAAGAAGTAAAACCAGGTGGTCTTAACCAATTCCCAGACCTGTCTCCGCTCTGTCGGTTCTCCCGGGCACCCCTTGCAGGCGATGGTCTTCAACACATCTTCAGCACCTGTTGTAGATGTTGGCGCACGTCGGTGGCTGTTTCCCAGGGCACCACGTGAGCGCGGAAGGAACTGGGCTCGGCCTTTTGTGCCTCTTGGATGAGGCGGTGCATGGGGTAGCCGCGGCGCGGGAAGGCCACGTCCCCGCCCGCCAGCAGCCCCATGGGGCAGAAGTCATTTGCACCGTCACCCACGTAGAAGAGGCGCTCGAAGTGCACGCCGTCGCGGGCCCGCTCACGCAGGTATTCACTGAGCACCTTGTGCTTGCACATGTTGGCGGGGCAGCGGGAGCAGTTGTGCGTGTGGAAGGGCCGCAGTGTTAGCAGTCCCCGCGCGTCCGGCCCGGACGGGTTGCTGAGGATGCGGCGGAATAAGCTGTGGTGGCCAGCGGCACGCAGGGCACTCTCCACGCCGAAGGTGTTGGCATCCGAAATGAGAATAACCTCGAAGCAGGAGCCCTGCTTGGCTATGAACTGCAGCAAATCACCCATGCCTGGCGACAGGGGGATGGTCTCGTAGACAGCACGCAGGTCCCGGGGCCGTACACCCTGCTCACCCAGGTACTTGAAGACGCGTTGCATGTACTCATTGTAGTAGCCTTCGCGGTAGGTGGCACGCAGGCTCTCAGGTAGCTGTTGACCTGGCGCAGCGCGCACGATCGAGTCGTCGCTGTTTTCGTCCACGATGGTCTCGTCGAAGTCGAAGGTCAGGAGGAAGCGAGGCGCGCCGGGCGCAGCCATCCTGCCGTCCTGGGAGCAGGGGGAAGAGGAGCAGGAGGAAGGGGCAAACGAGAGGCGGCGCGGCGGGAGCCGGCCGGGGAGAGCCTGATTAGCGGGCCACAGCCAGGGTCGCTGGCACATCCAAGACCTGAGGAGGACCCAAGGCTGGTTAAGTTGGAGACGGAACCAATGTATGGCCCACACCCCGCCGTCCCTTGCCTGTCTCTCACTTAATCGTGCGGGGGCTGACGCAAGCGGGGTCATACTAGTCTTGAAGCCAAAGACTTGCTTGGTTTCCATTTCTGCTGCTCTCATGGGGTCCCTAGGGCTTAGCAAAGTCAGCTTAGGAAGAGGGAGGAGTCATTCCTTAACTAGGTTGGAGACTTCTGGTGGCCTGTGTGGCAATCCACTGCTCTAACTCAGCAGAGAGTAGAAGCAGAGAGAATCAATCATTCATGTGCCTGGGGGAGCAACCTCCTTTCCCTTTGTGGCATCGAGGTCTAATGGAGCAGCTAGTCTCTAGGAAAAGCCTTTGGCATCACCAAGGCAGGTGGGCAATGAGGTCTTCCCCGGGGCCTAGATGTCAGCTATAAGGGCTTGGGAGGCCAGGTTCTGGACCCTCCTAGGTCCTAGCCAGAGAATTAGATTTTAACCCTTGAAATTACCAGGTAAGTATGCAGACCACACAAGACCCATAGAGGCTCTTTGGGAGTTTCCAGCCAGATGGCACTGGGCAGGGGGCTAGGGATGAGACATAGCTCCTCCAAGGAGTTGTAGGGCTCATCACTAATCACTTGCCAATTCCCTGGGAAGAACGTGTCAGCGGGTGGGGTTTCTGCCAGAGTCCGAAGCAAGCAGGCAGCAGGAGAAGCAATGGGGCTTAGGGAGGTGGGAGCCCCCCTCGCCAGGCCACGGCATACCTGGGAGACAGGTAGGGGAAAGGAAAGAGAGCAGCAGTGGCTAAAAAGGCAGAGGGAGGAAGGGACTGGCAGCTAGCTGGAGGGGATTGTTTGGGAGGAAGTGGGGCGGGGAGGGGTAGACTACTGGAATAAGAGCTCAAGGAAGCGAGACTTTGGGCAAAGGGGGAACAGCATGAGAGAGGATGGGGGTACAAGGTGAGTACTGGGGCACAAGGAAAGACAAGCACACCACACGGACACAGCAGGAGCCCCCATCTACACCCCCTGATGCCTTTGTTTGCCAGCAGCTGTATGAGAGGGGCAGAGTGACCAGTATCCACCATCCTAGGCAGAAGCCTCTCTGCCTAGGCTTCCTGTCCCAACTCGCCCACATGGAACCTGGTTTGCTGTCACATGCTAGCACCCACTTCTTTCTTTTTAAAGAGAGGGTCTCAGGTAGCTCAGGCTGACCTCAAACTTGCTGTGTAGCTGAGAATGAACTTGAACTCATGATCCTCCCAGCGCTGAGAGAACAGCTACATCCCAAGCCCTCCCCCACTATTCTTTCCCATGGCTTTGTAAGACAACCACGGTTTAAGTCATTTCAGAGCTGGGACTGGAACATGGCTCCCTGACTCCCTAAGAGAACTGTCCCTTCCTCTTTATCCCCCCTGTAGTCGCCTGGAGTTAACCATCAACCTGTGGGAGTGTCAGTGGCACCAGGACCTACACCAGGGAAATGTCCAGGGATTCACCAGTGGAGAGGGCACCAGTGGAGAGGGCAAATCTAAAAGGGACTGGAAGGGGCTCCTCCTAGCTCTGGGTGGAAAAGATGGGGCTTGAGGCCTCATCCTGAAGGACCCCACTTACCCTAGACAGGCACCGCAGGCCAACAGCTGGAAAACACCCGCTCATTGTCCCTAAATTATCCTGGGCTCCACCTCTAGAAACTCGGCTGTTCTCAAGCTATCATCCAGAACTCCTGGGAAAACAAACAGAAAACCAAATAAATCCCACAAAAGGCCACACCTGTCCATTTGGAGTAGGTTGTTGCATCTTCATCAGTCTCAGCATTTGGGAGGGGAGGCAGAAGCAGGCGCATCTCTTGAGTGGGAGGCCAGCCTGATCTACAGAGTGGTTCCAGGACAGCCAGGGATATGTAGAGAGACACTGTCTCAAAACAAAGTGGCTCCCTGGCGTCCCTTTCGCCACTTATGGCCACCTGACTCTGTTCCATCAAGCACACGAGCCATTCCCAGGTTCTCAGCAAGAGCAAGATCTTAAAAGCACACTCAGGCCATGCTCCTTGCTTTTAACGCCCCCGGCCAGTTCCCAGACTCACTCATCAGAGAGGTGACAAGGAGCATTCCTGCAGATCCAGACAGGCTAAGGGACTTGCTCAAAAAGTGGCTGAGACTTTTCAAAACCACACCTCAGAGGCTGGTCCAGGGCTTCTTTCTCCAGTATGACCTTTACCCCCACACGAGCAGGGCATGTCATAGTTTACCAATCACCTTTATTTCCAATCACATTCACGGTTCATGGGACCCACGAAGGCAGAGAACAGGGATTAACTCACTTCCTAGAGGCTGTACTGTTTAAGCAATGTGGCCCTTGGCTCACAAATGCTTTCACCACTTTTTAGAGGCTCAGAGCCTTGGGCTCTACATGAGATATGAGACTTACTTCTGGCACTACCTTGTTCAGGGGTCTCAGCAACAGGACAGGCTGAGTTTAGGTGGCCGGGTCTGATCTTTTGATTGGGGCCTTCATCAGTGCAGCTACACAAGAGACCATCTACGGCTTCCGGTGCCTCCCTACTCCCCTACCTCTCCACCCCCAGACTGAGAGACTAGAGAGAGGTCAGCCCCTTAAACTTAGATATAGCTTGGAATTGGAAAGAACAGAGAAAAGATGGGCAAAGATCTGGCTGGTTGCTGCCCTCTAGTGGCTACAACAGGTAGCACGGTTAACCCTGCCTGGCAAGGTGACGCTCCCTGACCATTCAAGAGCAGCGGAGAGAATAAACTAGGGAAGGACCAGGGGGACACAGGCTCTGGAACCGTCCTTATAGAGATGAGTCACTGGCTACCCTGGCTTTCTCACAGCAAAGATTTTCATCAGAGACTGGAAGTAACTTTCAGTGATACCAGCCCCCCACCTCATAGCTAGTAATTGGAAGAGGGCTAAAAAGTGGCAGCGTCCTGGGAAATTCAGATTCAAATCCTGCTGCGATAGTGGAAGAAGGGGATGGGATAAGGGAACGGCATGCAAAGGATATTAGGGGAACTGTCACGGTGCCTGTCACGGAATCCTGGCTGATATAACCTTCGTCCCAGGACAAGAATAAGAGGAGAAAGGTCAGAGGTGCCACACCCATTGTAAAAAGCAGTCTCAAAGAGAGGGACAGCATCAGACGTGGAGAGGAGCAAGGGGCAGATACAAAGAAAGATACAAACCGCTTACCAGCAGCCATATAGACCAGCTTTCTTTTCTCTCATTCTGTCTCTCCCTTCCCTCCCTCCTTTCCATAATCACGATTGACCACAGTTCTTTAACGGTATCTTTACAGCACACCCTTAATCCAGTATTTTGTTTTTGTTTTTAATTTTGAGACAGGGTTGTCCAATATGGACTTGAACTCAGGCTCCTGAGTACAGGGACTGAGTACACGTAATAAACACCCTGCCCTGCTAAGATAAATTTTCATCTCTTGGGGGAGGGGGGATGGTGAGTTACTTGCCTGTCTTCCTTTTAAAAAAACTATAGTAATCTTATACTCAAAACTGCTCATGTCTCATAGTCATAGACACAGTTATGTTTTTACCTAATACTAGTGAGCATTTATGGAAATCTTCAATTTTGTTTTTGAGACAGGGTCCCACTACCTAACCCTGGCTGGTCTGCAACTCTCTATGTAGACCAGACTGGCCTTGAATGCAGATCTGCCTGCCTGTGCTTCCCAAGAGCTGGGATTAGAATCCAGCACTGCCTCTCCTGGTAATCTTGTTTCTTTTTCTTTCTGCTGTGTAGACAGCCAGGCATCCTGTGTTTCTCCCCATAGACTAAGGCAGCCTCACAGTGAAACCCCATCCCTACATATATCTAGTTATTATTTGGCTTCATGAGGTTTGAAAAGGCCACGGGCAGTTGCCTGGCCTGGTGATGCAGGAGAATCTGAGTTCAAGACCAGACTGAACTGCACAAAAAGTTCCTGTTTCAAAACAACCACACACAAAAGTCACTCACTTCTGACAGGTTTGTATGATGATACAATCCTGTGTGGTGAGCCAGGTGGTGGTGGCACACACCTTTAATCCCAGCACTCAGGAGGCAGAGACAGGAGGATCTCTGAGCTTGAGGCCAGACTGGTCTACATAGTGAGTTCCAGGACAGCCAGGACCCCAGGACTACATGGAGAAACCGTCTCAAAAAAACAAAAACAAAACCCAAACAAAACCTAAAAACAAACAAAAAACCCAAAACCTATGTGGCCAGCAGAGCCCCTTGTGGAGAAAGGGACAGAATCCAAGTTTCTTCAGCATGCTAGGGCAGGGAGAGCAGGCAGATTTTTCTGGGGCAGAAGGTGGTTCTTTTCTAGTCCCATCTAAGATCAACGTTTGTGGCCCTGATTCCATAGATCACAGGCTCCCAGCCTGCACCCTCCCTCCGTTGACACAAATACTCTTAAGTCTGTGGGAAGGTGGGACAGGTGTGCGTGTGTGTTGGCTTAATCTCTAAGCTTAAAAATTCTCCTAATGGGGGAGAGGATAGAGCCCATAGGAAAGTTTGGGGAGTTTTCCACAAGAAACATGCAGGCTGAGAATGGGGGTGAAGACTTCAGAAATATCACGGTAACAACCCCCTTCTGCTTGAAGAATAAATGTCTATCACTAGGAATCAGATCCGACAATTAAGCTGGGATTTCTGCCCCTAACACTCCCAACTTCACAAACCTCTTTCTTGTTCATTAACCCTTTAAAGGGGGGAGGGGAAGAGACCCAGAGAGGTTCAGCTAACATCATGGGCATCACACAGCATCAAAAACAGGACTAGAACTCAGGGGTCTCTATTGCCTCGTGGACAAACTATCTGAACCTCCCCGTTTGCTACAGAGACTCCGTAATGGTCCCTGTTCTAGCTAGCTAGGGAGTAATGATCTATGCCCTGGTGCCAGTGAGGAATCTGGGACTAGGCGTCGCCTTTGGTGTCCCCTGCCTGGGTAGACAAGTAGAGTTTGATCTTCACTGGGTAGGGGCAGGGAGATGATGGCAGCTGCCGGTGGGGTAGCAGGAGAGATATTTTTAGAGGTGACTGGAAAGCAGGCACTCTGGCACACCCCCAGCTGGCGGGCACTTCGCTCTAATGCGGGCGGGGGGTGCGCAGCTCGGGGAGAAGGAGGACTTGTGGGTGGCGGGGAGCAACGACAGTCCCCGGAGATGAAGGGACACTGGGCACCATGAACCTGGGAGAGAAGGGGGCTCAGTTCTCTGCCCCAGAGGTTGCCCCACCACCAAGCGCCTAAAACACCCTCAAACTCTACACGGCCCCCACCCCAACATTGAGATCGCGATCCTCCCGAAGCCCAGGACTCAAGCGGGGCAGCGGCGGCTGCGCTGTCCGTCCCGGTTGAGTTTGGAGTGAAAGTAGTGGGAAGGGGGCTAGTTAAGGGATTTGGAGGCGAGATGGAGCAAGGGGTGCTTACGGGAATTGGGGGAACGCAGTCTTATCCACCCCCGGATTTCTGAGCTCCGGCTCACGCGTCCCTCCTGTCCCGAGGGACCGTGGATGATCTGCTTCTGTTCCGTCCCTTCCACCTGCCCCCCATCCCTGGGGCCGCCGCCGCGTCCCCTTTAAATGCCGGGGAGCCGGAGCTCGAGCCGCGGCGGGCGCTGCGGCTGCCGCAGCACCCGGGCCCACCGCAGTCCCCGCACGTCACAAGCGCC